AGTGTTTTTCACACATACAATAAGAACACTTAAAAAATGTGCCAAGCAAGCATGTTCTTAAAAATAAAACTAAAAACAAAAATAAAATCAAGAAATAAAAAAGATCCCAAATGGAGTTTTGCAAAAGATTGTTGTGATGCAGATGTTCAAGGAGGCAAATGCAGGGCAGATTTTTTGCCCTGATTTTTTTGGATAACTGAAGCGTAGGTCTCATAGAGATGACTGCAACAAATTTTGGGAGACAGCTCTAGTGTAGGGTTGCAGCATAGATCATGTAGAAGGATCTGGCAGCATAAATCTTGATGTAAAATAAGTCTTTTTTTATTGTTGCGCATGAACCTTTGGGAATGAGGACAATTTGTAGGCTTGCTCAGAAGTTTTAGGTGGACATCGAAACTCACTGCCATGAGAAAATATTGCGTCCGTACAACGGACGTGATACAGTGGGAAGGTGCGGAGCTCGGACCTCCGCTGTATCATGTCCATTGCCCGGACGTAATATTTTCTCGCTTGACCAAGTGCTCCATTTCCTTCTTCATGCGGCAGTACATCTGCACTAGTTCAAGCTGGTATGCTCATTATTAGCTAATTTAGGGAATTCTAGGCATCAATTCTAAAAGTTTTTGGTGCAGAAGAACTCAACAGCACAACACAAATCTTCTTGGAGAATATTTATCTCATATTAAGCATTTTTTACGCTGATTTGACTAAATTTTGTGTTTGATGTAGCTCATTTAAGATACACCAAGATGTGTACTTTGTGGTGGGATTCATTCAGAATCAAATATCAAATTTACAAACACAATAGATCCCATTATTTTTGAAGTCTTGTTTCCTGTTCCATAACAAGGAGATCATGAGGCGCTTGAAGATGTTAGTTGCACCAAGTCTTTAGAAGATTATATTTGAATTAGGAGGTTAAATCTTATTCTTGTGCAGTTTTGCTCCCCTTGTTACTTCTTTCATGTTTTGTAGCTTTTTATGTAAATGAAATTATATTCAAAACTGCTGAGAAAATTTTAAAGAAGTATTTTTTACCTCTAAAAATTATGGCTTTTTCACATAAAACGACACCCTTAAGGCTGAAGGCTTGGTACAATTAACATAACCCTGTATATGTAAATCTTATAAATTGTTATAAATGGAAGTCTTGCTAGATGAACTTTTAGAAGTTATTTGCATTTTGTAAGAGTAATCTTGATATACTTGAACCATATGCTAAGTTTCTGTTTTTTTTTTTTTTTCATCCTTCATTATTTGAGCTTCAAAGGTTGTTCAAAAATTAGTTGCCACTACCTTCGGTAGACATAGACCTCCTCAGGGTCCCCTAAATATCTACAAGGATAGTTTTTGTCAATTAAATGCCATACAGCTTGAGTGACTGATTCTTTTATAAAAAGAAAATTTATTCTAGAAACTGATGCAAGTGAAATAACTTGAATTAGTTTTGAATTGAGTTTTAGATAGATTCTTTTAGCAAGCATGTGTGGATCTTGGATTATTAAGGTCTTGAATTTATGTCCATTTGTCAATAGTGAGATGCAGAAGTCTTTAGGGGGGGGGACACTTTCTTGGTCTTTTGTGTGATAGAAAGGTACCGCTTAGACTTAAAGGAAAACTATATATAGGATGGTGACGAGACCTGCAATGCTCTATGGCACTGCATGTTGGCATTTAAAAGAGAAGCATAAAGCTAAGTGTAGCCAAGATGAGAATACTTAGGTGGATGAGTGGCGTTACACTTAGAGACAAAATACGAAATCAATATATCCAGGATAGGGTTGGTGTGGCTCCAGTGGCGGACAAAATTAGAGTGAGTCTTCTTAGATGGTTTCGTCACATTAAACACATGTCATCTAATGATCCGGTTAGGAAAATAGATGTTGTACATTCGACTTATGTTAAGAAAGGCAGAGGTAGACATAGAAAGACTTGGGGATGTTGCACAAAAAAATGACCTTAATTTGTTAAAACTAAATGAAAATATGACAGTCAAAAGGACACAATGGAGAAAAAAGATTCATGTAATCCACCCCACTAAGTGAGAAAAAGGCTTGTTGTTGTTGTTGAATACTTTATGGGGATGCATTCTAATGGATAATATCCATTCTGATGTGTATTCCATACATGACAATAGGGCAGAGTAAATGATTCATTGTAGATAGTTCGGGCTAGCACACCTCCCTCATCATTTGCATGCCGATGGGCAAGGGCTTATTTGCATCATGTGTGGGCAATTGATCATAGGCCCCTAATGCACACTATTTTTGTTTTTATGAGTTAGGATTTAAATTTAATAATAAGATTATGTATAATTTAGTTAGCAGCTTTACTCTATTTTGATTTGCATCTTATTAAGGCATGAAATTGAATCATGGCTTCGATACTCACATCCTTTAATGCATGTGAGGCTCTCAACCTTACTATCACCTTTGATGCACATGCCTGCGATATCTCTTAGATTCAACACATGAAAGCTCATGGCCTTGCCTTTGACGCGCAAGCACAAGAGGGATCTCATTTTTGACACACAAACAACACTTATCACATTCAATGGATGAAGGCTTCCAATGCCTTAATGAATGAGTAGGGCTCTCAACTTTGACATTCTCCATTTTCATCGCTCTACCTTGTAAACCTGTGAGGGACCTTTATAGTATGATACAATATTCTCCATTGATAATTATAGTGTCTTCTAGTTATGATGAGAAAAACCATCTAATGATATCTATACTCAAAATATTCTCCCGAGGCATCACAACAGGCGTCACAACATTTTTTGTGATGCTCTCTTCATAGATGACACCATCCTTCATCAGAGATTTAAGTTGTTATGATCTACATAAATGATATCATCCTTCATCAGAGATTAAGTGGGAAAAATTCAGTTGGTTGTGAATGTCTGGAAAATATATGTTACGCTCCTTAGACAAGATGTTAACTACTTGATGCAGTGTTAAAAGCTTCCTCGCTAGTGGATAAAGTTAGCAAGTAGACTAAGGATTAATCTTGAATATCGTTGTTTTTCCAATTTTACACATAAACAGTTAAATAAAGAGAGAGTGATGATAAATGATATTTTATGGAATACTTGAAGAAAAATAAACCATCGGGACTTGACTAATTGACCAACTTATATGAACATGAATGAGTTACAAAGTTCCACCATTGCCCATCTAATGAAGAACATTTTAGCAAAGTGGAAGCAGATGAGTGGTTTGGGTTGATGTCTCAACATCAACTGTTTTCTCCTATGCCTCGATTATAACCGTTCTGACAAAAGATAACGGTCACCATGCCCGGAGGTTGTTAAAATGCTCAGGCATCGAAGGAGTCAACTATGACAGAACATTGTAATATGTCCTGGAGACAACATCTGTCGAACAAGCTTGCTAAGGGACATTATCTTGCTAATGATGGTTGCTTGTGCAACTTATCGAATAATCTTAGTCCTTAAAACTAAAAAAAAAAAAAAAAACCTCTAGTGAACAGAATGAGGGTTACTTATAAATTTTATTAATGAATTCTACTTCTCATCAAGATTATTCATCATAGTTGTTAATAATAGATAATGTGGATCACGTCCTCTCATTATCATATGATGCCATCCCTTGGATGACCCAACTACTCTGCTTGATACCAAGTTGATTAGGAGGCCAATGATAGCGGTCCGACAACAACCATCATCGGTCCAACAACAACCGCCACTAGCAATGCCTTTGATATGTGACATAAATATATCACGTCATAGATTTTGATACCCCAAGCACAATGATGGTGAAGTTTAGAAGTTACAGCAATTGAATTGATGGGCGTATTTAAGAGAGGCTCTTTATCCATAAATTGGGTCTCTTGAGAACAACTAAAATATCTTATTATTTTGATATGGATCAATGTCTATTCAAACAATTTGTAAGATGTTGGCCTATAATGACTCCAACTAGACCAAATATTTAAAGGTAAGTGACCAGAACGAGCATGCATATTGGATTAATCAAAGGTCATTAATATATTCCTGTTGGCAAAAGGAACCATGGCGCCTTTTGGTATGGCTCAGTGATTTTCAATCCAAGTGATGATCAAACCCCCATCACTCCAGCCCATAGGAGTCCACTTAAAATTGGCTAATCTTGGGTCTTGTAAGTGTTTCAGACATTCCTGGTGTCTACAATTTCAACCAAATGATTCTCATGTCGTTGTGATATTTGCTTATCTCTAACTTGATCATGTCTCAACAAAATTGGATAATATTCTAGTTCTTTTGAGATGAGAAAGGATATCTATTTTCCATTGCCAACAATACATTAGTTTTCTCTCTGCTGAGAATGAAAAGGAATTTAGTGGAAGAAATTTATTGCTATTTGACAATATAATATCAATTATTAAGCAGCAATCATAAACAACTAAAATTTGATTCAAATTAAATTCATATCAAGAAGAGAGTGCTTCCATTGTAAATCAATGAAATAATACAGGTATTCATTTTAAAATAAAAAACAGAATGAAAAGAAATAATAATTCACGTTGGCGTCAAAAAGCTCTAAAAAATAATATGAAACCTCTGAGCATGAAATGAATTATATACTTAAAAAAAGAGGGCCCTTGAACCTAAACTAACTTCAAATGCCCACAAATGGTGGATTGTCGAAAAATTCAGTTGGGGTATGGTTTTCAACTATGGTAATTCCTACCGATATCAAAAAAGAAAAAAAAAAAGATACGCAAATACAATAACAATAAATAGTTCCTCCGCACATATATAAGAACATCCATACCTCAAATTCCTTTAAATTGTCAATTCTCATGTGAAACATATGAACAAGAAGTTTATATTGTCAAAATCACATGTGAAACATATAAACAAGAAGTTTATAACGAACAAGGAACGTTTAGAAAATAATTACCAACATAATAATGGTATCTTCACAAACATAAAAAAATGCTTCATCAAAAGGATTTACGTGTAGAATTCATTATCACAGTTAAACGAACTAAAAACCATTTATTATCAGCTAAGGTTTCTACAAGCAAGATGCATTTGAAAGCATGATGATTTAGTTGTCTACGTTAATCACAGGATATGGCATGCACTCGCAAATCAATTTCTCAAAAATCAACACAAGAAGAAACAAAACAGTCTCTAGGAATTGGATACAAACCAATGAGAAAACACTAGAAACTTTGATCAGCATCAATTACACAGGTAGGTTCCACTTTCATAAATATGGTCAACCTCATTAAATTGAGCAACGCCATCAGAAATTGGTCTCAGACAAACCTCGGACAAGGTCATTGCTCCCTGTGAAGAAAACTTCACAGATGCATGAACTTCAACCTCACCCTCAGAAGAGTCTTGATCAACAGGCATCCGTGCCCTCAGTTTCCCTGCAGGACCTTTCAGAGGAATATCTGGGATGTGCCATGTTAGCTCCTTCTCAGCACGGTTCAAGACTGCCTTTGGGGAAACCTTAAGCAGTGTTGGATCAACCGGCAACTTCAAAATGAACTTCACATTAGATAAAGCCGTAGGTAAATCAGGGTTGGAAGCATACTGTATCATTACAGAAAGCAAGGTTCCGCTGTGCCTTTTGATTAACCTAAGCCTCAGAGGCAGAGGAGTGAGACGGGGCAGAAGGCTAAACTTCAGAATTGGAATAGGTTCTTCCTTAGAATGAGTCCTGACATGAAACATTCCATTTCCTAAATTGCTTATGCATGAACTCATCATCACAGCCCTCTTGATTCTGGAGGTACCCTCAAGGCGGAAGGAGAACTCAGTTTCCTTCCCATCCGATTGCTTTGGAGGAATAGTTCTTAAAAAGACTGTCCCTTTGAAACCAACTCTAGCAAGAAAAGAATCCCTGAACTCAGCATTGATCTCTTCAACAATGTTCATCTCTGGACCAGACATTTCTCTCTTCTTCTCCACCAGAAGATTCTCTAGAGGCGTGCCCGCTCCTTTTGCTTGTGCTGGAGGAGGTCCCTGACTGGTAGCCAAGAGCTCCAGACCACCCAATCCCTGCGGCTTGGCAGTCTTCTTCGTGGTGACAAACTCTGATGCATCAAGACCTCCGCCAAAAGCATTGTCGAACCCTTCAAATGCCTCAGATAAGGAAACCTCCTCGTTGCTGAACTCTATCCCACCATACTCCCCTTCGAAGCCTTCAACTCCAATGAAGGTCGACTTAGCGGCTTCTGCCTGTGGCAACACCATGACTTCTAGGCCGGATAGGGCTGCAGCTGGATCTGATGTGTTTATTATAGAATTTGGCGCCTTTTTGAACCCTCCCACAAGCGCCTCTTCGGGCTTGTTTATCTTCTCGCTTGCAGCAAACGGATCCTTCTCCTCCACAGCCTCTTCTGCGGGCAACTCCTTCTGCTGCTCCTCGCCCGTCAGCTGCGCTACCGGCGCAATGGCCGCAGCAACCTCGTCACCGGCAGCTAGGGTTTCCTGCGGGAGCTCAAAGGAAGCAGCTGAGAAGGCCTCCAGATTGGCGCGGCGCTCGGCGGAGAGGGCCTCGGCGGCACCTGACCAAGTGTCAGCACCCCGGATGCGGTTTTCGGAATCGATCCCTGTGTGCACCATCTTCGCAATACTCTCGCCATGAATGGAGGATAGGATGGCCGCGAGGCGGACGCTTCCGACGCCGCGGAGGACGATATCTAGAGCCATGTAGATCTCGGGGTACTTCCGGTGGAGCTTCTCAGGAGTAACATCAACGCCACGACAAGCAGCGACGACGACGCTGACGGCCTGGTTGACAGTGTTGATGCACTCGAAAATGTTGTTGATAAGACCGCCGTCGGTTGCGCGGTCTATGGTGGTGATACCGAGGACGTAGATGCCGTTGACGAGGCGATACACGACCCGATACTTGCTCTCGACGCCGACGACCACTTGGCCGCTGGACGCCGCAAGGGGATCATCGCCGATGGCAGATTCTAGGTCTTCGGTGAGGGTAGGAACCGTAGCAGAAGCAGATGTCTTGTTAGAAGAAGCCGAGGAAGCAGCGAAGGCGATGCGGGTCTGGCGGAAGGAGTTGAGGGCTGCGAGAGCACGGGCGGGAGGGAACCACTCGCGTGTCTGGAGAAGGATATCGGGACCGTTGGCTGGCTGGAGGGAGAGCGCGAGGCACGCCATGGTTGGTCTTCTTTGTGAAGTTTGGGGACTTGGGTAGATCAATAAATCGAAAAAGCTCGATGAGTGAATGCTGGGAGTTGCTCAAATGGATCTTCTTGGATATTGGAATTTTCGGGACTCGGCTTTCAGATCTGAGAGAAGAAGGGGCTTCTGTGCCGAAAAAGGAAACAGGGAGAAAGGCCGAGCTGTGCCTTCGGCGCATGCCAACGAATCAGGAGACTCCGGTGTTATAAGAATAATTTGTATTTAGGCGTGCATCATTTCTTAAAAAAATGAAATATTATTCGAATATTATATGATATTATTTGATTATTTTATTTTTGGGATATTATTGAAATATTCTTTCATATTACTTAATTTGGGGTAGTTTTATTCGACATATTCTCAATGTTATTTTAATTTTCATTATATTATTAGAATAACACTACCCAAATCAATTAACATGGGGAATATTCCAATAACATTTTGTTTCCCACAAATAACACTAATGGAATACTCCTATGACACAATGAGATATTCCTATAACATCAATCTGACATGTAGCTCTACATTCGGAGTCTTGAGATAATACACAAGATGAGGACATTATTCTTGTGCATTTAAATATCTAATATTTATAACAAAAAATTATATTTATTTTTTAATGAATTAATAATGATGATGTATTTGATGTGATATTAAATTGAAAATAAGTTATATTGACATACATAACACTCAAATATTTGATATCACATCAAAATATATGACATTTATTTATTTTTAAAAAGTGAAATACACTTTTCAATATATAAATTTATGACACTAAATGTAAATATAAAATTTCACATATTAGATATATAAATATATAAGAATGTTGCTTTATTTTTTAATTTTTTTTTTGTTTTATTAGGATGGACTTACCCAATAAGATGGAGTTTTAAGGGGTACTTATAACTTGATCTAAAAGAGAATTGACCTAATTATTTGAGTATTAAGGGCTACTCGGGTCAAGTGGAATTTAATAAATCTAATAAATGTTCACTTGTTAGTGCTTAAAATTATTTCGCATGATATTAAATGAATCATTAAGGGTTTAGGAGTTCAATAAATAAATGATTTTATCAAAATTTTGATGGGATTGAAGGTAAACTTAGACTCATAAAGATAGATGACACAATATCTAATTTTAAAAAATATAGGGTCCGTTTGGGGCAACTTGTGTGTTTCTGGATAAGCTGCTTATCCAGAAACGCGGCCCAAGGGCCGGCCGCAGAGGTTGCCCCGCGACCTGAGGCTTAGACGCAGTTTCGGATAAACTGCTGAAACGCTTGAACCAAACAGTACGACGACGTTTTGAAAACGCCGCCCGCATTTATAAACTGCCCCAAACGGACCCATAATCAACATATAAATTTCATCTCGAATCCGAAGGATTTACTGGTGTAGAGTTCCTTCCCTATTTCTTCTTCCTCGCAAGTGAAATCAGTTTGCAAAAGCAGCATCTCTTCCAAATCACAACCATGCCTAACCTCAACATGTCATTTACTATTTCTATTATCTTCCCTTATTCCCGTTTTGTCTTATAGCCAAATCATTTTCTTCTTAAATTCAATTAATAATTTTATTTCGAATTATGATAATTAATAATTATATCTTTACTAAACAAATTTATTATTAATAAAAATCTCATTAAAGAAAGTTTTAATTAGAATTTTAACATTGTTAAAAGAATAATTAATTACTTATTAATTATATTAATTATTAATTACTTATAAACTTATTGAATGAATAAAAATTACTATTCATTTTTTTAGTATTTAATATTTAAATAATAGGTATAATCTGATAATATTTTAATTAATTATGACCTATTAATCAAATAAATTAATATGATTAACTTAAGTAAAATTAAATTACTAAAATTAACATAAATATCGTCTTCTAGGCCGACCTCTCGCGATACAATCGAAAGCTTGGAACGCAACGACGGGATCGCGGCTTACAGACACCCGAAACTCCCATTTTACTCCTCCTTCCACTCCTCTCCTACCCTAAACCATCGAGGAAGGTAACTTCACGTCTTCTTCTTCGCGCGAAGCGTCCGTCCCGGATTTACTAAATCCACTGATTTACGGGATTTAGTAAATCCAGGATTTGAGGCCGAAATCCGTGAAATCCGGATTTATCAAATCCAAGGCTTTAGTTTGTCCAAAATGACCGTCTGACAAGATTTAGGTTAAATCCAGCTCTAAAGCCGTTCCCAGACAAGCCCTTAGTGATTGAAAACCTCAGGATTTCGAAGTCATTTTAAAGCGTTAACTCTTAAAGCAGAGGGAGATACAAGATTTAGCATAGTGGTAAGATTCAGTTGCTCCAACTGAATGTTTGGCACGATGTTGTCTAAATCATTGTTAAATCTCGCAACCAAACATCCCTTATACATCAATCTCTTGATAGACTAAGTAGTGCAGCAGCTTAAGGGGTCATATAGACTAAATTCATCCATTCTTAACACATTCAATTCACTTGAAATATATTTCTAATGTTTGCATGAAATCACATTTTGGACATGTTTTTTACAGTGGGAATTAGCGTGACATATAAAAGGCTTAATATGTATGCTATATATTAGTTGAGTTTGTAAATATTGGTTTGTTTGTTTTTGTGCTTAATGGTTGTTTTAAGTGTTTATAAATAGCACAGTGATTCAGTAGTTTGAAGATGCTTGCTATTTAGTATGCTAAAATATGCATAACAATATGAAAAATTTGCATTCTTACAATTGATTGGCTTTACCTTCAAAGTTAAAAAAGATTAAATTCCATTATTTTTTCTGCTTTATTTCTCTTCAACCAAGTAAATGGTGCAAAACATAATTTCATGCTTCATTATCATTTCCATTTCTCTATTTTTGTATCACTCACAGTTCTTTCAAACAACACAATGTCTTTAGGTAAGAAGGTAAAAATTTTTCACATATCTTCCACACAACTTGGTGTGCTGAACTACCCCTGAAGATGTTGGCTGGGGTTAAGCTTATTCCACGAGAGGAACTTTCTGAGGTAACATAATGTTGTCCACTTTTTAATTTTTGGGATTTTCTTTTTTTTGTTTTTTGTAATTTGTAATTTTATATATACTTTTAACTAATTTGGTGAAGCACCAGGAGGATGATTTGAGCACAGACAAGAGGAGGAGGATAAGGAGGAAGAAGAAGCACCGCCACAATAGTTCTGATGAGGATGAGGGTATAGTGAGGGATGATCGGTATGCAGGAAAGAATAAGAAGAAGATGAGGAGTGGGAGTTGGAGTTGCTCGGATGCTGATTCTGATTCCCTTGAGGGGGTAACTGGTAGTTTTTCTGATAAAGGGGATAAAAGCTCCAAAAGTAGAAATAAGAGGCGTTCTGGACATGGGAAGGATGGTAGAAAAAAAAGGGATAGGGTTGGTAGAAAAAATGGGAACAAAAGTGGTGTTGAGGATGAGACGAAAGGTGGCGCATTTGAACTATATTTATTTCTTTTTTTACTTTGGTTTTCTTTTTTTCAATTTCAATATCTCTTTCATAATAGATGGTGTGATAGATCGTGACAATTTGATTTTGAGAAAGGAGATGGGGCTTGAGTGGATGCTTCAGACTGGCAATAGTTTGCATGGTAATTCAATACCGGCTAAAATTGAGCAGGAGGATCACCAGGTTGAGGAGGTAAAATCTTCTATATTTGGTACATTTATCTTTTAAGTTTTTGAAGGTTTTTCATCTGCTGAATTTCACAACTTGTAATCACTGGCAAGTATATAATTGGTAAAACTTTTGAAGGCGTATTGACAGGAGTGCATGGGCTTACTTAACAATTTCTTGATGGAATTAAATAATGCACTTGAGATCATTTCTATATACTGCATTGGAAAGAAACTACATCCTTTTAGTGGCACAATAAATCTTTTGTTTAAATAATGCACTTGAGAACGTCTCTATATTGATTCTCTTATATTCTTTAATAAAAAAAATAAATTTTATTATTTAATTATTTTTTAAAAATTAAGCTAAAGAGTTCAAAGATTTGTGGTTGATATTGTACTTTTTCGAATACCCTCAGCATTTTACTTGATGTTATATTGCCAACTATATAAAGTTTTGATGTACTTTTTAACTTGCGTGGAACTTTTTTGTAGCACAAATCCTTTTTTGACAATAATTACATTTCTCCGTTAAACTTTGCTTGGTTTGAATGTTTGCTAGAGATGTTTTTCTTTTTTTAAATTCAATGCATGATTAATGGTTACCACACAATATGCTCATGTCTGCGAAGCAAAACAGATTCTCTTCCAATCATAAATTAGAAGCTCAAAGCAATCTGAAGGATATTGTGCCAAATTATCTTATAATGTATACACACATGGTATATTCATTGTTTGCATTATAGTATATCAGACATACTATGCCATTTAGAGCTAGCTTTTCTTTTTGTCATGTCTATTTTTTGGAGCGATTTACAACTTGAGAGAATTGAAAGTGCTATTGAGCTTTCTGTTTCAGCTCATTTATTTATGTCTATCTTTTGGCATAAGCAATTATCCTAATTATTTTAGTCAATTATATTATTTGATTTGTAATAATTATTTTCTTCTATTAATTTTTGTTTGATATTTTGTTATTGATAATCCTACCGTGTAAACTAAGATCTTTATGATGAATATTGAGTTTGATCGATTTTTTATGAATGTAAATTTCTCTTCTTATAAAATCCTTTAATCATGTGGGATACTTAAAATTATTTTGGGATGTAATTTTCTTATCTAGTCTGAGATTTGATGTGTACTATTCCTTTTCTATTCTCAATATATTTTTATTAGTCATTATTTTTATTTAAATTCACCTTTTTTTTCGTGTTATCAAATTATCATTGTGTTCATGTAATTATTCACTTTAACTCATAAAGTCCTCTTCACTTCTATCCTACAAAGCCCTCTACACTTTTATCCTACATATCAATAGTGAATGCACTGAGTTGCAATGTTCCCATAGAATCTTACCATATTATTCATAATGTGATGCATACTAAGCTTTCACGACAAAAGAAAACCATGAATAATTCACTAGTAATTCAACAATTTGTAAGAAAGAGAAACTCAATGTTAGTTTTGTACAAGATAAGATTGTTTTAGTTTGACATATATGAGGATTAATGGAAGACTGTTAAAATGAAAATAAACTCTCATGACAAAGAAAGCAATTTGATTGTCAAATGAATTTATAATGGTTGTAGCAAGACACAAAATTAGAACAAACCAAAATGTTGGATCTTGAGATAAAGAAAGTTGATCACTAACATTCTCAAGGGAATATTTATGCATAAAACATAAGAATATCATATTCAATTAAAAATAAAAATAAACTAGTTATCCTTTTAATTTATGATCATACAAACTAAGACAGCTTCTTCTTCTTTGTTAGTATCATCTTTCACTTCATTAAAATATTCTTCAAACGCTAAAATAATTTCATCTCCATTACATTTTCTGAAAAGAGCCATAGTGTGCCAATCGTGCCTTGTATTATACTATTTTGATTGGTTGCACTTTGCGACTGATAGTTCATGGGGTGTGCTTCACTGTGTCACGAGCCATAGTGCTTAAATATTTGCACTATTAGAAAATATGATTTCCTTATATTTTTTGTACAATTTATTACTTTTTAATTCACCCATCTTATTATGTATGATTTCTTTATTATAATTATGGAAAGATCAATATTTTACTTTGTGTTATTTTTCAAGGGTCATTTTATTTTGTATTATTCTATACCTTTTTTTTTTTTGGATTTACTTGTGAATTTAATCATGTACTCATACATGGTATAAGCTAAAACTTTAACTCAAGATTTTGTGGTTGGGGCCAATTCATCGAACTACTGCACCAAGATGGGTTGTGTTATTTCAAGGAAACTTACATATTAGAACCACAACTCCATCAATGGCAGTAAACTTAATTTAATTTTAGGAAACAAGTACATGGTTAATCTTCCTTGTTTTTTGGGTAAACAAATGCCTAAGTAATCAGTCTAGTCACCTCTAGCTACATTTGAAATACTATTCTATCGTCTTTTGTTCCATATATGCTAGAATCTGGCAAAATCTTGAAATTTCTGTTTCTTGGTGATCAACTATGTGCTGGCTTCACCATATTAATAATCAATTTCGAGTCTATCATTTCTTTTCAGTTTTAACTACATTATGCCATTAAATGTGATGCTTAGTTCATCATTTATGAAAGTAAAACATTATTTGTTACTTGTATTATTCGTTTGGTTATTAGTTTATAAATTTTCTTACCAACATTTTACTAGGGAAAGAAAGAAAGTGAATCCAAAAGAGCTAAATCCGTATCTCCATGATAATGGAAGTGGGTATCCCAATGATGCATTAGACTCAACTACTGGCTCCAGCCAACTTCTTTCTTCTTCACTTGTTGGTGATGGTGGTGCAAGTTGGCGACTAAAAGCCTTGAAGCGAGCAAAAGAGCAAGCTGCTCGTGAAGGACTATCACTACAAGAGGCATGCTTACATCTAACAGATAAATATAAAAAGTATAAAGCTAAAAATCTTTCTTAACATATGGTGTAATTTGCAAATTGCAGGTAGTTGGAGAGCGATGGAGCTCATTGCAGGAGCTAGCTACATCTGTGGCAGTTCATCGTTCTGCACCTGCTCATTCACATTTGCATGCCATAAAGGAAAGAAGGAAAGTACAAACTAATATAGAAGAAACCCAAGGTGAACATTTAAATAACAATGATTATGTACAGGATTTGTCTTCTAAGCATCTTGATATGAAGAAGCCAAAACAGGACAATTTTCAGTGGAGAAGTAAACATTTTAAGAGGATCTGTTTAGAGGATAGTTCTGAGGCTATATCTTGCATAAATAAGTTTTCTAATGACGGTAGCTTTATGAATAGTTTTATTAATCAGCAAAATAAGTATTCCAATGTCCGTGAACATTCTTTTCTTGGAACTAAAGAGATAAACAATGTCAATGAGAACGATTTAGCTTCTGAAAGTACAGATTTGGGTGAAGCGCTTTCAACTAAAATACAGTCTGTAAGTTCCAATCAGCTAGCAGCAAAAGTGTTACAGCTTAGAATGAAAGGAAAGCAGGAGGAGGCTGAGAAGCTTTCCGTAAGTTTCCTTCTCTTTTATTTGTTGAAATCCTTGTCCTTTCGCTGATTGTTCTCTCCAGAAAATTCTCTCATTTTGTAAATAGTTTTATCTTTATAATAATTTGTATTTTGAAATGTCGGACAGCATGTTGCTAATTTCTTTTTTTCTTTTAATTCTTATGTTTATATTCTTATTCCATGTGGCCAATGCGTAATATGTGAACCACCAAAAAGATCATATAGTTTAAGCTTAGTCTAACTGCTGGGAGGTAAATGCAAAATGGTTGAATGCTGCGAAAATTTTTAGTAAATCTTGAAATTACAGGTATGGTAAGATTATGATTTAGAATTTATGACATAAGATGTGCCAAAAATGTTCCAAACTTAAAATGATCACAATAATGTTGGTAAGGTCGAATCATGAAATTATTGTACTAGGGAATAATTGAATGAAAATTTTAAAATTGTTTTAAAATATATAGGTTCTTAAAAGTGAATCATATACTTTTTTCCTTTCTCAATCAATATTTGTGGAAGCGAAAGGAAAACATCAAAATTCTTGCATTCAGAACCTAATGGCTCTACATATTTTGTGGCAAAAAAGTCCCAATACTATCTACTCGTGATGTGAATCTGAAATGGGTTTTGTAAGACTCTGAATGGTATATTAGAGAAGGTGTAAAGATTATCACTATAGAATATAAGGTATAATAAAGAAGAATGAGGTGGCATGGATGATAAAACTGCTAGAACAGTTTTTATTGTCGAATATGAATGGCCATTGAAGAGGTTGAGACTAAAGATAGAAATTAAAAGATCAATCTAAATCTGAGATATAACTAAATGCATCTCTATGGCAATGATGGCGATGATAATAGTCTTAATCTTTTAAGTTGAAGAAACGTGGATCATTGAAAATTTGTCTGTTTTGTTTATCTATTTATTGTGGAAATGCTTGCACATAAGAAAAAGATTAATATAGTGGTCATGCTGAATGAATTTATACATAAAAGTTTGATTGGTTTTTTATGCTGCTAGTAGATGTATCTGACTGCTTGCCCATTCTAATAAACGAAAATTTTGCTCATAGTTGTTTCATTATGCTAAATTGCCTACTAAAGCTTATTCTTTATCTGTCTTCTTTCTCTTGCAAATCAGATGCAAATGGGTCTATTGGTAGAGAATTCAAATGGAATACCCAAGGCTACACGACAAGAAATTGGAGGTAGGACTAACAGGTATACCCCTTGATTAGCCGTGAATCTTCATTTGTTGATGTCTAATTTTTCTCTGAATATAATATGAAGGGTAGGATGTATCACTTTACAATTTATGAATTGCTTCATTTGAATGCGGGGCTTTTTTAAGCATCAAGGGCTTCATTCTTTACACCCTTTCCTTCGATAATCACTTTAAAAGCATATCAAGATCCAGCATGGGGCTTGAAATTAATCAAAGTGGGTATGGACGGTCAGACGGTGAATATTAAAATTTTCTATATTCATTTTCTATAATTAATATTTAATTAAAGTAAGAGTGGCTAAAGAAAGTAAATTAAAACAGTACCATTAAATTTATTTTATTACTGGTTGTCTGCATCTTCTATAATTATTTTCTCCCTTATCGCTCATATTTTAAATCACATAATTAACCTGAAATATTAGTTTAAAAAACAATTAGCTAACTATAACCAATGAATACCTAGACTACAGTAGCACAATGAAACAAAAACAATACTCATGACTGTTAAGCCTTTAATAAATCAATAATAAAAAATTTTCCTATTTATGAAGATGATAACTCACTTTATTTCATAATATTTAAGGTGTTTTATTATATTAATAACATGTTTATATCATTTATATACACACAACCGTCACAAGAGCACCGTCGAAAAATTGTACTGGTTAAGATACTTTAAAATTAAGATCATTTTCCATTTACATGCACGAGTACCTTAACGTTCGTACTGGTACTCCATCATAGTCAAACGTATATATACAGTCAATCTATGCATTTCATATCATTCACAATTTCATATCACTTAATATATAATATTTATCATTATAGTGCATAAAATATTTCATAATATGAGACTACAAGTATTCATATTGAAATGACAGATAAAATTTAAGAATAGAGGAAATTAACTTCATTAATTAAGCATGAATAACAATTCATACAACTGTTTTAGAAGAGATACAAAAGTGATACCACAATTTAAATGTAGCAGTACTCTCCTCGATGTTGATTAATTTGTTCTTGGATTTGCCTTGACATCGACTCTTCTAAAATTGAAACCTATAATAAGCATGAGTATTTATATTACTAAATATTAATTATTTATTTATTTTAATTAACTATTACTTTAAATTATTTAATTATTAAATTTCCATTATTTTATTTTATGTAATCCTATTTATTTTTATATACCTTACCGAAGTTTGCTGGGATCAATCTCCCTCCTACTTTAACTCGCACAATACATACTTCTTCTCTCCAAGCTGAAATCTTGTACATTGAGTCCTAATTCAATAAATTTTCTATAAATATTAATTAATAAGTACACACTAACAATATATATATTTATATATACATAAAATTTTTCTATTAATGCACATAATCAATTTTATTAAAATTCAAATTTACCTTTCTCGATTTAAATCCTTAAACACATGCGACAAGGCTTCATTGGCTTAAATTCGCCCCCTTCTTCCTCACCCAGTCCTTTCCTCACACAGAGTCACTCGACCTTCGCCCCACAGCCACTCGAAGCTTGATGTCGATACTATCTCAGGCTTCGTCGCCCTCGCCGAGCCTTTAGCCTCTTGACTCTTTTGTTCGACGTTGAAGACATCGTTGTCTGTTGACATCACCGCCTTTGGCTAGGGGAAGCCCTAGTGCTCGTTAATCCTCCTGTCTTTGTACGTGTCGATAGACTTTTTTGGTAAGAGCCCGTTTGGGGTAGCTTATAAGTGCGGGGGCATTTTTGAAAACATCGCGGTACCGTTTGATTCGAGTGTTTTGTTCGCTTATTCGAAAACACGGTTCCATTTTTACACTAAACGCAAGTCGAGGGTCGAACCCCTCGGTTGGCCCGCGGGCCGCGTTTCAGGATAAACTGCTTATCCTGAAACGCACAAGCTGCCCAAACAGACCATAAGTTTGGGGTTGTTTTCACTTATTATCGGCGTCAGCCTCTCAATCTCGCCTCTGCCTCCCTCATACACGACGATTTATTGGATTAATCACCCCTTTGTATTTCCGCTTCATTTCCCTCTTTTTGACTCCCTCGAGGAGATGAAACGTGGCGTTACAAAGCAAATAGACAAACATAATTTCACGTCTGCACGCTAACATGGTACATAATTTTACTCGCCAACGTGCATAATTGCCCAAGCTAGAAATGTAAATGAGTAAAAAATTGAGCTATCTTTTAACCAAGCAGCGACGATATCGGACGACATGTGACAGAGGGGGCTGTTCGGGGGTGACAGAGGGCGACCGTTGTAGCCTGTGGTGGCGGGCGACAACGACGATACCGAACGACATGTGGCAGTGACGACGGGCAGCTGCGGCCAGGGGCGAGGGCGGCGGTCGAGACAGCTGCTTGCGGGCAGCGACTTGTCGATAGTATTTTATATTTTAACGAACGATATAATTCAAATTTGACATTTTGCCAAATTCTAAATTTAGCCAAAATGAATTATGGTGTAAACTTCAAATTCATTCATACTTTATATTATATTTGTAATTCTTCATACCAAACATATTCTTGTCAAATCTTTTCAAAAGATTCTTTTCAAAAGATTCATCAAAAGATTCACACTACACTACAAATTCACTCAACCAAACAATCCCTTAAAGAAAAATTATTATACCAACTTCAAATTCATTCATACTTTATATTATATTTGTAATTCTTCATACCAAACATATTCTTGTCAAATCTTTTCAAAAGATTCACACTACACTACAAATTCACTCAACCAAACAATCCCTTAAAGAAAAATTATTATACCAACTTCAAATTCATTCATACTTTATATTATATTTGTAATTCTTCATACCAAGCACATATTTTTGTCAAATCTTTTCAAAAGAATCACACTACACCACAAATTCACTCAACCAAACAACCCTTTAAAGGAAAATTATTATACCAACTTCTTTATCAAATAATTCCTGGCCTGTAAGAAGAAGATAAAACATATTCTTGTCAAATCTTTTCAAAAGATTCACACTACACCACAAATTCACTCAACCAAACAACCCCTTAAAGGAAAATTATTATAACAACTTTAAATTCATTCATACTTTATATTATATTTTTAATTCTTCATACCAAGCACATATTTTTGTCAAATCTTTTCAAAAGAATCACACTACACCACAAATTCACTCAACCAAACAACCCCTTAAAGGAAAATTATTATAACAACTTTAAATTCATTCATACTTTATATTATATTTTTAATTCTTCATACCAAGCACATATTTTTGTCAAATCTTTTCAAAAGAATCACACTACACCACATATTCACTCAACCAAACAACCCCTTAAAGGAAAATTTTTGTACCAACTTCTTTATCAAATAATTCCTGGCCTGTAAGAAGAAGATAAAATCTGACACAGCAAACTTATTTGGCATTTCCATAACCCTTAATTGAAAGCCTCTTGGCTAAGTTTTCCGATAAACCTCTCCTTACAACCCTTCGCTGCCTCGTGTTGACATGCATCTTGGAGAAGAAATCCATTAATGAGATTAACTATTCCCATGAAAAATTTTAAACATCGGAACATGACTTCAAGGCTCAACATGGTGGAACTTGTATGTTCCATATGTTAGATTTATTTATTTCAATCACTTCATTTTCATGCCTTCATCGCATGACGTGCATACCATGTTAATCACATTTTTTTCTACATCGTTTCATCATTCTTTTAGTCAGTAATTTGTTTTTGTCTTTTGGTACTTGTAGCAGAGCTCAGAAACCTGTCAAGTCCCATACCCTCACCCCCCAGTTAGAAGGTTTTCACACTTGTAGCATCTATAACTGCCATCCATGCTTATTTTACAAAGATTCATATGCTTCTTGTAGAATTTTGGAAGAAATTTGACATCTTAGTGGTTTCCTGATAAATGTGTTTTTACATGTTATCCATGCGGCTTACAAATTACACAATAGTATTCGTGAGAAATCGGGTTAGCCTTCCTAGTTTGTAGCTATATAACAGTTGTGTCAACAGTTATACTAAAGCACTCAGCTTCTTTAGCAAAACAACAAACAATTTTATGGTCTAAAATTCTTGTGAAACTTAGAAATTACACATGCAGCTTCGAATTTTCTTGGCTAAGAAAAACCCTTTTCATCTTCATCTACAATACCCAGATTGCTGCTTCGTAAAGTTTTCAGAAAACCGTACTAATTTACATTGTTGCCTTTAACTTGACAACATAAAAGCCAAGAAAGTTTTAGCTTGTAACTTAGTGGTGTATTTGGTGAAAATCCTTTTTCTCAGTACTCAAAACATTTTAATTTGCTGTTCGAACCCTTTAATTTTATCATTAAACTTTTATGAAAAGACAAATGAAACTTTTGTATAATCTCAAATGTTTCCCTCTGTATGGTTAAAGATGATTAAAGCAGAAATGGGCATAAATGAAACTTCTGTAGAGTAAAACGTCTCAAATATAGCTTTAATGCAGTAGCCTTTTCATTATGTTGTCAATTTTAATTAAACAAATAAAAAATACTCCATGAAATTTTTTATGGAGTGGTCTAATTACCACTTCTGAGTATTTTTCTAATTTGCGGGATTACTTAATAGCTTTTCCATGCAAACAACATCATGCATCTTCCCTGGATCATGAAATTAAAAGAACGATAAGAATAATTTTAATGTTTTTGATTTATTTCAACTTATGTAACACTGAACTTTTGACTACATTTAAGTGATGATTTGATGTTTTATCAAAATTTTTAATCGCAGGTTTATTGAGAAACAGCTATCCAGTGAAAGGAAGAAACCTGAAGATGATGGTGATAAGCATCTTGCCCAGAAAATAATGCAAAATAGAAGATATAGCTTGCCTGGAAGTGTGGAAGATGAGTATGATTCATATGAGGGAGCTCCGAGCAGAAAACACAGTAAGAAAAGAGATTTTACACATGAAGATAAAAGAAGCTTACCAAAACGAATATTAACTCAGAAAGAGCGCTGTCAGTTTTGTTTTGAGAATCCATCCAGACCAAAACATCTCGTTATATCAATAGGAAATCTCACTTACATGATGCTTCCGCCTTGGGAACCCGTTTTACAAGGCCATTGCTGCATTCTGCCATTGCAGGTAGGTTTTCCTTGAACCTTTTTTTACAGTATTTATCTTATCTTTTTTTCCATGTGTTGCTGTTACATGTCATCTGTAATTGCTCTCAATATATTTTCTAGGGGTGTTTGGTAGCACAGTTTTAACAGGATTTGGCCTTGGATTTAACTCAAATCCAGCCAAAAGAATAAAATTAAAAAAATAAGAAAATAATAAAAAATAAAAAAATTCAACTCCGTTAATCCAAATTTATTCCCGTTCCATCTGCAAATCCGAATTTACCAAATCTCACGAAGAGATGGATTTGTTGGATTTACGTTACTATTGCTTGTGACCTTTGATCCTGTCATGAGCTCGCCGGAATGTAGGATTTGATAAATTTAGTATAAATCTGACGCGCAGCCAAACACCTCTCTATTACACCAGGTTAGCCTTTTTTGGCTCAATGATGCTTATGATGGAAGCCTTACTTTATTCGCATTTATAAAAGTTACTATGCTTTGTAGCTTTGAAACCATCTACTACGATTTATTATCTGGATTTCTTATTAAAAATTTATTCAGGCAAAAAATACAAGAAATGAGATATGAGGTTTTCAATCATATATATTCTCAACTTTCATTGAGTTTTAATCTATCATTTATTTTTATATTAATATGCTTGCAAACTTAAAAGAACACTTATAATAAACCTCTCATGCAGTTCTTCCTCTATGCAGCATGAATCAGCTACCAGAAACATTGACAAAAATGTCTGGGATGAAATTCGAAACTTTAAGAAGTGTCTCTTGAAAATGTTCTCAAGGCAAGACAAGGATGCTGTCTTTCTTGAGACTGTTATTGGATTGTCTAGGCAACGTCGACATTGCTTAATTGAGTGCATACCTATTCCTTCTCACATTGCAAAGCAAGCTCCATTGTATTTCAAAAAGGTATGTTTGTCATTAATATTGTATTTCAAAAAGGTATGTTTGTCATTAATATTTTCTGGCTTTTTTTCTCTTTACAATGGCAAACTGTTGGTGTAGTGTTTCTTAATTAACTGAATTGTATAGTAACTTTGAGGTTTTCACACGAAAATAATTGAATAAGATACAATCTAATGCTGCCTGTGTTATTGAATGGCTCATCCCTTTTCACTTGCTAAAATACTTTCAAAGGTGTTATGATCCAAGATGCTATTTGAGATCTTCTGTGGTTTTTTCTACACGTTTACTTTTCGGATATTAAGATATTCAGTTTCTTTTACATTAGAATAACTCATTTCATTAGTTCTCTGCTTTTTTGCATTTTTTTTCTACACTTTCATTGAAGCCTTATTCGTTTTAGCCTCTTCTCAGCCATAGATTGTTAGTGTGATTTAATATTGAAAATCATCTAGCCTATTATAGCATGCTCGTTGCCTTTCTCAAAGAATTCTCCAAGCCCTCATAATGCAGTGCAGTTATGCATTTTAACATAGACTTTTATTTAAAGTCAGCTTTGACACAGTTTAAAGTGCAGTTTATTCAGCCATTGAAAGTGAATTTGATAATAAACTAGAACTGTCATGAAATTTATTTAAGCTAAGGAGCAGTATGATCTGTTAAACAGGAGAAGGATCTATTATTATTTTTTTGTGCGTTTTGAAATAGTTGGTACTCGGGTAGTTTGGAAGTAAATTTTTGTATAAGATAATTTTTTTCTCTTAAATCTTATAAAACTTTAGATTGTCACTTTTTAAACTGTCATGCTATTTTATTTTTTCTTCTTGTTATGAAAACTATGTTTTTAACCTTTTAGCATCATCCTTGTGAAACTCAAGTTTCAATTTTCTTGGATCAAATAGCAACAAATAATCAAAGCATGGCTTTCTAGAAATCTAAGTTGTTCCGACCATTTGAAATTATGCAGTAGTTTTGATAATGCTGTATCCTCCAAACATGTTTTATTTGCTTGATCATCAAGCTATTGTTAAGATCTTCCTTAGCTAATACTTGTCAATGTCATCAAATGGTGACTAGAAGTTACATATTATGAACTAGGAATTGGTTGCTTGTTATTGTCTTTTTACATCTTGTAAGAGATAAGATGGACTCATTTTATAGTTTATTGAAGCTTAATATATAGGTTGTTGAAGATAAAGTGAGGATGCATTAACATTAAGCCCATGTTTTTCCTAAACCTGTTTTGCTATTAGAATTCATAAAATATATAGAGACGAGAATTGTTTTGTAGAGTTGAGAAATAAAATATTTCACTTTAATTCTAGGACTAATCTTGGTTTTTAATTATTATTATTTTTATGATTGGGTTGACTGTTATTTAATTCTGATAAGGATGCTACTTGTACGAGCAATGGCAGGTTTAGATTAACTTATTTTCAGTAAGAAGTAAGAATTTTGATCAGCTGTGTAGTTGGTAACATTTGTTGTGAAATAAGTAAGATATAGAGATTATTCAATGTCGATTGTGGTTAGTTTAGGGAGAGGATGGATTTGCTCATGTGCAAGCTGATGATGGAATGAGAAAGGATAACATTGGTGGGGATTTTATTTATATTTTGCTCCTCCAGGTTACCTATTTAGAGAGAATATCATTATCAATTTCATAAAATTTGAGATATTTAGTTGGTTGTTTGTTGATTCCGTCATTAATCAACAAATGTGTCATTGATAATTAACTTTAACATGTACACATTGTAAAATTAGGAAAGAAAATGTTTTCTTTCCCGATATAAAACACATGAAAAACTTAAAAATCAAAATAAAGGAATCACATAAATAAGTCCTAGATACTTAGGATTGGATCCCCTTATGGAAACGGGCTCCAAAACAGCGTGGGAGGCCGATTGGCCCTCCTAGGTTTCGACAGGTTTAGTCCAGACGATGGAATAATGGGATCGGCTCACGTGCCTCTTTATGCCCGTGTTATTGTAACGAGCTCCGCATCAAATTTTTCTATATTTTTTCGTAAAAATATTTTTTCTCTATAGTAGCTGTTAGTTTTCTTTCTTTGGCAAGTTATTGTATTTTCTATTTGCAGGCTGAGGGAACTAGAGTGTTGGCTGAAAAGTTATTCTCTTCTTGGGTTTTTCTTTTTAGAATAACCACAAGTTGAGTTATCTTTATTTCTCGTGTGTTCCTAGTTGTTGATAAAAGCATTCTTTGTTTTTTATAAAATCCTCATCAAGCTGTGATGGCAAATTATAGTTTTTGGATGAACTAGATTTTGTGTACTTTTTTTTGTGCTGTCGAGTACAGTTTTTGTTACTTGTGATCTTATAACATTGCGGAGGATACTTTTTGATTTATTCATGCGAGTCATGTAGTCTTCTATGTGTATCATCATTATTTATGTATGCAACCCCTCTGATACAGTCGAATGGCTTTTACAGGCTATTGATGAGGCTGAGGATGAGTGGGGACAGCATGACATGAAAAAGGTGATACCAACTAGTGGCAACCTGCGGAATGTTATTCCAGAGAACTTTGCCTACTTCCACGTTGAGTTTGGGCTGGACAGAGGTTTTGTTCATGTCATTGATGATGATAGCAACTTTCCAAGTAGCTTTGGCTTGAATGTCGTCCGAGGCATGCTACGCCTACCTGTGGAGACGATGCATCATCATCTGCGGCGAGAAGCGGTTGAGAAGCAAAAACAAGCTGTTGCCTCCTTTATCCAGGAATGGGAACCCTTTGATTGGACTAGAGAGCTTGATTGATTCGGAGAGTTTATTCCCTGGCTTGTGGTTTCTGAAATCTCTGAGCCAACCTGCAGGTTTAGATGTACTTTGTAACATATGCAGTGTCATTTGTGGTCAACTTAAAAATGTCGTGGTTCATTGTTTTCGTTTACATTTAGATATCTACTGAGGAATATCGGTCGTAGAGTTACTGTTTTAGTTTTTTTTTTTTTTTTCTTTTATTGCAGTTATGGTATTTAGTTAAGTAGATAATGTTATTTGTATTGTCATTTTTCTCATGTATTTATTTTTTTTATTTTGTAATTTGTTTGGAATGAAATGTTTCTCTCTCATTTAGGACATGCTTATCATTATGTCAATGCTATTAGGATCATTGAATACAAAATAATAGTTTCTATTATAAATATTTGGTTTTGAGTTGTAATTCAGGATACTTGCTTATCGGATAAGAAACGGCATTTATTCTCTTGGCCAAATATCGGATTTTCTCGTTTGTCATGTTGTTCATTCTAAGGTTAGGTTTCCTCCTGTTATCCTTTGTCTTCCTCTTTTGTTTTTTGAGAATTCTTTCTTCTGATCTTTTTATCCTCTTTGTACCAGTGTTCTCCAATTTCTTCAGGAAAAAATTAAGACGTGTTATTTATATACCATACGAGTGGTGGGCTACCATGAAACTAGTGCTTCTCATTTTTATTTCTAAAATTTTATTATCACGTCCAGCTTTGGCTTTATGTTGTCAGAATCATGGCCATTCAACGCGCAAATTGAATTATTATGAGGATTCAATGGAATTTTTTTTTTTCATTTTTAACCTTTATAAATATGAGGCTTGTCATGGAATTTTTCTAGTTCTTTAAGCCCCTTTTTGATTTTGGCTATTCATTTCTCTTTGAGAACCGTATTTGCCAGCTTCATTATGTATTTCTACTATAAGCTGATGGAGCCCATGTATTCATCATCTCCATTTTAGCCCCCCCATGAGGGTCAACCGACCATACTCGAGGATGTGTTCATTGACGTGGATGCAGGTATGTATGTTTTAGTTTGTCAATTTTTATGCCAGTAAATTTTTAGCATCTTTTTTATAGTATTTATTTTACATTTTCAACAATAAGATCATCATCCTTCAACCCTTCATTTAATCTCGTGATGTATTATGAACAAAATGACTGCAGATTTCATCTTCTCGATATGTTTGGTAAGGGGATCACCTGGATCGACCGACCACACTTAATTTGGCACCTAAGTTGATGCTTTACTCAATTGAGCTTAGTTATTTGGAGCGCAAGAGGATGAGCGTAATGGTTGGGAGAACGGGTACATGGACTCGAACTTGATGTCTTTCATCTTTAGCAGGGTTGCCAATAGAAGAGTAGTCTTTTCTTGCCAATTTTGGGAAGGAGGTAGTGCTTTCTATGCTATAATCGAAAGAGAAGTGTTGGAATGTAGAATTTCATGGCATGAATGAAGTTCTCTTAGGGGTTTAAACGAGTCGATCCTAGCTCGAGTCTTGCCTAACTCGAGCTTGAATTGTCTGTCAAAATGCAAGCTCAAGTTTGAGCTTGAGTTGATCTGAATGACATGCTCGAGCTCGGCTCGCAATGATGACACCATGATCGTGAGCTCGGATCGAAAACTGTTGTGCGACACCGCACCGGCGCCTCAAACGCATCCTCAATCTTGGGGACCTGTGAGTATCATGATTATTTCAATTTTATTAGTTGATGTAGAATGGAGGTTGTTCCATCCATTTTTTTTATGGTGAACTTAGCGAAGGATAGAGGGTGTTGGCCTCTAATCAATTATATTATTAGTGGTTTATTATCAGTCTAATGCTTCTTAGTGAGTTAGTTGATCGCATTCACGAGTTATTTGATCCTAGTTCTAATTGAGTTGAAGAGCTTGTTGTATAAAGAATGCTCCCTCTGTATTTTGTTTCCTATTTTTTAGACATGTTAGATTTGTTGGCCTTTAAAAGAGAAGGATAATAATAAGTTAAGTATTGCCGAGATGAGAATGATTAGGTGGACGAGTGGCTTTACACTTAGAGACAAAATGCGAAATGAATATATAGGGTTGGTGTAGCTCCAGTGACAAACAAAATTAGAGAGAGTCGTCTTAAATGGTTTGGTCACATTAAACTAAATGTCGATCATCTGATTATCGGATTAGGAGAGTAGATGTTTTAGATTCGGCTTATGTTAAGAAAGGCAGAGGTGGATCTAGGAAGACTTGGGCTTATTGTATAAAAAATGATCTTAATTTACTAGAACTAAATGAAAATATGACACTAAATAGGACGCAATGGAGAAAAAGGATTAATGTAGCCGACCCCACGTAGTGGGATTAAGGCTTTGTTGTTGTTGTTGTTAGAGGTCTAGGTGGAACCTAGGGTTTGAGGGTTTGAGGGTTTGAGGTAAAGATATACTTTCAACTTGGTGTTTCTTGCTCAGCTAACTTGTTTAAGATAAATGTCTATGATTTGGGCCACAGGGCTTGATCAAGCTATGCCACTAATTCTACGCATCATGATTGACATTTTGATTGGTGATTAGGGTCAAGTCTGGCTTTGTTGCTTGCTAATTTGTGAGTTCTACTTCAGCCCTTTGTTTATACTTGTATTGCTTCTTGCTAAAAATCATTCCGGGAGATGGCCAAAGAGCACATCTCATATCATGCTTTTGTTGGAGATTTTGGGATTGTTGGCAGATCCTATTGATTGGAGGCATTTATGGACTTTTAAAATTGATGAGCTAGTAAACTCCACCTTTCAATTCTACTTTTTAACTTATTGTCAATCCAATAGTGGAGAACTATCATTATGCAAACTCTAGGTATCATTTTTTCATTCTAGATTGCTCTTCGATGGACCATGTATTTGATGTGCTATGGCTATTTCTATTTTTTCTGTCAGTATGAGCACTCGAATTCAACATCTTGGCATTCTTCACTTTGTTTTCAACTAATGTATTACATACTTGATTGGAGGCATTTATGGACTTAAAATTGATGAGCTAGTAAACTCCACCTTTTCAATTCTACTTTTTAACTTCTTGTCAATCCAATAGTGAAGAGAAGTATCATTATGCAAACTCTAGGTATCATTTTGTCATTCTAGAGTGCTCTTCGATGGACCATGTATGTGATGTGCTATGGCTATTTCTTCTTTCCCTGTCAGGATGAGCACTCGAATTCGACATATTGACATTCTTCACTTTGTTTTCAATTAATGTGTTACATATTTGAGCACTGCCAGACATTTTTTGCATGATAGTTTTTTATGGTGTTGAACTTCACGATGAAAAATATCTATAGCTCATTCAATATGTTTGGATGTGAATAAATATTTGCTTTTATGATTATGCAAATCCAGTGTATATTGCCTTCAAGCAATAGGAGTTTTGCGTTAATGGTTTCTTTTTTTTTACAGTTGGATTGGCGCACAATGCATCCAGTCATCAATAATGTCAATTCTCATTTTAGCAATTTTATCATTGAATTAAGCCAATGATCAAGTATGCATATAATTTAATGAAAACATTCCTCCAAATGATCTTAAATATAAATAAATAAATATATATATGTATATGTATGTATGTATGTATGTATGTATGTATGTATGTATGTATCCAAAAGAAAATTGATATTTGACAGAGACCCAAATAACGATTTCCCATCCGCATCAAGGACTCATGATGAGAGCTCGGGTCATATGCCTAATTATTCGAGAACTTCGCGTCACAGGAGATCGAATCCGTGACCTGAGGGGACTTAACGTGAACCTACCAACCAACATATATTAAAGTTTAAGTGTAGGATGTAAATACATAAAAATTGCGAGCTAGTTTTCTAAATTTTTCTGATTTTTAATAACATTCAGAGTATTTATGAATTGAGTTTAATAAATTTGCACAATAAATTTAACAATCCATCAAAAAAAAAAAAAAAATCATAATCGCTCTTAAAATAAAAATATAATGCATTTATTTAACCAATAAAAATCATTAAAAAATAGCTTTTCCTAGCAGCTCATAAATGCTTCATTGATAGAGTCGAGCATGTAGAGCCAAATTGCTCCATACTTGAATATATTCCACTTGAAACCGAATTATAATTTAGAAAAAAATAAATGCTCAGCTAAAATGAACACTACTATGGCATTGCTGGCAAGAGGATTAATGATGCCAAGCCTCTCATCTCATTCAGCTTTTTGAATCTTCATTATCTCACAATCATCTCAGAATAATGCACTTTCTATCTACAACTTTCTAATTTTCAAATGATTATATACACGAGCAAAAATATATGTAGTTTATGAAGTTAAAAGGTACTGCCAAGACAATGGTTGTTTACACAAAAAAATGTTCAAACAAGGCTAGCTAAACGGTCATCATAGATGCAGATCTCAAACAGAAAACGCATAAACTAGCAGATAAAATGCCCTTCCACACGAGAAAATATTGCGTCCGGACAACGGGGTCGATACACCGGCGTGCTAGGGTTTTTTTTTCCCTCTTCGGCTCCTCCAGTGAATCGCGTCTTTTGTCTGGAAGCTGCTTGCGTCCGGACTCCAGACACTATTTTTTCCTTTCACAAAGGGCGGGCATTAGCGGGCGCATAAGTTGGAAATCGATGGAAAAAACTCGAGGCTAAAAAAGAGAGAGGGTGGGGGGCATTTACATACACACCACCCAATTCCTATGCATTTTACGTATCTAACACCTATGCTTTACTTTTACATTTATACCACCAAAATATTTTTTATGGCCTAACAAATATCACTGTTTTTAATTCAAAAAAAGTGAAATACAACTATTCATGTATAGATAAGGTGGCATATATGTAAAAATTGAAGTTTAGGTGTTAGATGTGCAAATACATAGAAACTAAGTGGTATGCATGCAAATCTTTCAAAAACAAAAAGTCATGAAACAAAAAAATTAATCAATTAAACTTTCAGATTCTCACAGCAGTCATAAGGGCTCAAAACATTGAACTCAGAATTAGACATGAACAGTATGAGGCTCAACACGTAAACTATACAATATAAGAAAAAAACAGTTCATTAACATTCTTCTGGATTTATGCTAACACTTCACACTTTACAAGATAGAAGATATAATGAGTTCAGCCAGACTAAAATAGATCCGGCTCATGATCTTATCACCTAATTAAAACCATGTGAAACTCACACACAAATCAGGACCAAATCAAATCCAGTACTTGTTGCAACCTGTTCCATCATTCTTTGAAATTTCTCTTCTGGAACTCTTCCTGACAATCACAAGAAGGTTATAATTTTGTTGTTTAAGAAATAGCTACAAACAAAATAAAAGGCAGACGCCATTGACAACTCAAATTCATCCGTCAGAAATTTAAATGAAACTTGTTGAATACTTTTTAGGAAGTTGGTACCCGGTACAGTTAGTAAGTTCACATAACCCGAGAGAGAACTTGTGAGATAAGAGGAAATGGAGAGAGAGAGAACTCAAGCTCGTGTCATTTTTCTCATCGCTCCCCTCCATCTTCCCCTGATAGAGTAAGAACCCTTCTATTTATATGCTCCGTAGGATGTCCTTGACTCTGTAGGACTATAAAAAAGAACTAAATAAAAAATATGATATCAGAAGCAGTACTCTATGAGGCATGTCCGAGATTTACCATTGAAGGGATGTCGTTGTGAGTGCCAGAGAGTTAATAAATAGGCATAGACAATGATGAATTCCAGGGGAGTCACCTCCCGTCTCATGTTTAGGTGGCTTTTTTAGGAGAAAAGAAGACCAATAAGCAAACTTGGCGATGGAGCTTGGTATATGCAAGAGAGCTCAGTGGAGGAACTCGCTAAGTGCTCTTGATGGGTAATCTTTGTTAAAATCACATTGCAGCTGTCGTTAGCAAATATAGTAGATTAGTTATATGGGATGTTAGCAAATGAATATATTCATATTCTAAAAAAAAAAAAATCGGGTCTAGTACGCCTAGGGACCCCATTTGCACCTACGACAGTCAATGACAACTATTTCAGTCTTTAGGGTGTACATTTAGTTTCCACATTCTCTCATCTCTTCGACATGATACTACAATAAGACTGAGAGAATGAAGAAAGATTTATCATTTCATACTTTGTTAAATGAATTTCAAGCTTGTTGCCGATGCCCCACTCGGTCAAAGATTGACAAGAGGCTGAATTATACTCAATCAAAATAGTAATTCCCATAATTGTGAAATTTGTTGGTGGCACCTTCAAGGAGCAGTTGCAAGGGCTTACCATTGAGCCTGGACTTTCCTTTATCTAGGGGTACTTTGGCTACACATGTAGGGAATAGTTGCCAGGGCTTCTGAGTCAATGCGAACTAACTGTTGTCTACGGCAATAGCATTTTGGATGGTGGGATTACGTATTCCATTACTATGACCTATATAATGATTAGATGAGCCTCAGATTGTTGAACTGTCTCTAGCGAGGGAATATGCTTTTAGGCGAGAATTCAATGGAGTTTATTACAGTCAATAGAAATTTATTTTCCAATAAAATGAGAAAATACAATATAAGGAAAGAGAATTCAAGGCTTCCCTGTTTTGGAAGATCATTTGCTTTGCTTCCACACCTCTGACTGAGTAACTGTTACATCGTCTCAGGTGGGACCCACAAAATGCATTAAACTATAATGTAAATAGTAGTAATAGCTCATCATCTTAGGTAGGCTTTTGTGAACGTGATGGGTAGATATGTCGAAGTGGTTGATTTGGACAGGTTGACAAAGTTGATGTCTTATGCCCTCAATTGCTTCAAGCTTGACTGTTGCGAGGCTTCAGTTCCATCTTCGCCAAAGATAGTGAGCACTACTCCGACAATGTGCACTATTCTCATCAGAACTAGTTCATCAGTGGTAGTTCGATAAGCGCTTTGACCTCTCTTCGAATATTGGTCTTTAGTACTACAAACTTTTTCAACTTTCCCACTCGAATCAACTCTTCAATAAGATTTTAAAGTTGTCAGCACTCCTCAGTGTCATGTTCATGGTCCCAATTATAGGAGCAATATCTATTCAGATCGCACTGGAAACTCCAAGTTTTCATTAGTGGAGGCCTCTTGAATTTTTTTTTTTTTTACTCTGGAAGGATTCTACAATCTCAGCCATTGATACTCGTAGGTGAGTTAATTCTGTCGAAGAGGATAAAGGCCACTCTTGCCTCTTCTACTCTCCCCACAACCAGTCTTCGATCATGTTGCTTCAATTATTGCTATTGAAAATGTCTTGCAGTAGCGTTCCAGTGATCTTTCCTCAAATCTCAGTGTTCTCGGAAAGGTCTTTTCTTAGGTTTTTTCTGGCTTCCGGAGGAGATCGACAAAGAATTATATTCATCAGCCAAAATATGATTGCTAGCTAGCTCCAAAAGCTCAATAAAGATTTTTGGCTTTTGCAAATTAAGTGCATATTTGAACAGGCCCTCACATAGGCCTTGGGCAAGTGCTGCGTGAGCGAGGATGGGCTCCAGATCTCTAATGTCTAGCATCTCCTATTAGAATTAGGTAATAAAACTCCCCAAGCTTTCAGAAGGAGCTTTTCGAATCTTCAACAGAGCCTGGAAGGTTTTCTGCGATTTTTGGGCATTGGCAAACAAAGCTATAAACGTCTGCTTGAACCCAGTGAAGGAGGTGATGACTTCTACTGGTAGGTTATTAAATCGTCGTATGGTTGATTCCTTTAAGGTCATGAGAAACTAGAGGTTGTAACAAGCACACTGTTGAATAGATCCGGCTCATGATCTTATCACCTAATTAAAACCATGTGAAACTCACACACAAATCAGGACCAAATCAAATCCAGTACTTGTTGCAACCTGTTCCATCATTCTTTGAAATTTCTCTTCTGGAACTCTTCCTGACAATCACAAGAAGGTTATAATTTTGTTGTTTAAGAAATAGCTACAAACAAAATAAAAGGCAGACGCCATTGACAACTCAAATTCATCCGTCAGAAATTTAAATGAAACTTGTTGAATACTTTTTAGGAAGTTGGTACCCGGTACAGTTAGTAAGTTCACATAACCCGAGAGAGAACTTGTGAGATAAGAGGAAATGGAGAGAGAGAGAACTCAAGCTCGTGTCATTTTTCTCATCGCTCCCCTCCATCTTCCCCTGATAGAGTAAGAACCCTTCTATTTATATGCTCCGTAGGATGTCCTTGACTCTGTAGGACTATAAAAAAGAACTAAATAAAAAATATGATATCAGAAGCAGTACTCTATGAGGCATGTCCGAGATTTACCATTGAAGGGATGTCGTTGTGAGTGCCAGAGAGTTAATAAATAGGCATAGACAATGATGAATTCCAGGGGAGTCACCTCCCGTCTCATGTTTAGGTGGCTTTTTTAGGAGAAAAGAAGACCAATAAGCAAACTTGGTGATGGAGCTTGGTATATGTAGGCGAGCTCATTGGAGGAACTCGCTATGTGCTCTTGATGGGTAATCTTTGTTAATATCACATTGACGGATGTCGTCAGCGAATTTATTAGATTAGTTATATGGGATGTTAGCAAATGAATATATTCATATTCTAAAAAAAAAAAAATCGGGTCTAGTACGCCTAGGGACCCCATTTGCACCTACGACAGTCAATGACAACTATTTCAGTCTTTAGGGTGTACATTTAGTTTCCACATTCTCTCATCTCTTCGACATGATACTACAATAAGACTGAGAGAATGAAGAAAGATTTATCATTTCATACTTTGTTAAATGAATTTCAAGCTTGTTGCCGATGCCCCACTCGGTCAAAGATCGACAAGAGGCTGAATTATACTCATCCAAAACAGTAATTCCCATAATTGCGAAGTTTGTTGGTGGCACCTTCAAGGAGCAGGTGCAAGGGCTTATCATTAAGCCTGAACTTTCCTTTATCTAGGGGTACTTTGGATACACATGTAGGGAATAGTTGTCAGGCTTCTGAGTCAATGCGAACTAACTCTTGTCTACGGCAATAGCATTTTGGATGGTGGGATTACGTATTCCATTACTATGACCTATATAATGATTAGATGAGCCTCAGATTGTTGAACTGTCTCTAGCGAGGGAATATGCTTTTAGGCGAGAATTCAATGGAGTTTATTACAGTCAATAGAAATTTATTTTCCAATAAAATGAGAAAATACAATATAAGGAAAGAGAATTCAAGGCTTCCCTGTTTTGGAAGATCATTTGCTTTGCTTCCACACCTCTGACTGAGTAACTGTTACATCGTCTCAGGTGGGACCCACAAAATGCATTAAACTATAATGTAAATAGTAGTAATAGCTCATCATCTTAGGTAGGCTTTTGTGAACGTGATGGGTAGATATGTCGAAGTGGTTGATTTGGACAGGTTGACAAAGTTGATGTCTTATGCCCTCAATTGCTTCAAGCTTGACTGTTGCGAGGCTTCAGTTCCATCTTCGCCAAAGATAGTGAGCACTACTCCGACAATGTGCACTATTCTCATCAGAACTAGTTCATCAGTGGTAGTTCGATAAGCGCTTTGACCTCTCTTCGAATATTGGCCTTTAGCACTACAAACTCTTTCAACTTTCCCACTTGGATCAACTCCTCATTAAGATTTTGAAGTTGCCAGCACTCCTCAGTGTCATGTTCATGGTCACAATTATAGGAGCAATATCTGCTCAGGTCGCACCGAAAACTCCAAGTTTTCATTAGTGGAGGCCTCTTGAATTTTTTTTTTTTTTACTCTGGAAGGATTCTACAATCTCAGCCATTGATACTCGTAGGTGAGTTAATTCTGTCGAAGAGGATAAAGGCCACTCTTGCCTCTTCTACTCTCCCCACAACCAGTCTTCGATCATGTTGCTTCAATTATTGGTATCAAAAATGTCTTGCAGTAGCATTCCGGTGATCTTTCCTCAAATCTCAGTGGTCTCAGAAAGGTATTTTCTTAGGTTTTTTCTGGCTTCCGGAGGAGCTCGACAAAGAATTTTTCTGGCTTCCGGAGGAGCTCGAGTATTCATCGGCCAAAATATGATTGCTAGCTAGCTTCAAGAGCTCAACAAAGATTTTTGGCTTTTGCAAATTAAGTGCATATTTGAACAGGCCCTCACATAGGCCTTGGGCAAGTGCTGCGTGAGCGAGGATGGGCTCCAGATCTCTAATGTCTAGCATCTCCTATTAGAATTAGGTAATAAAACTCCTCAGGCTTTCAGAAGGAGCTTGTCGAATCTTTCTGCGATTTTTGGGCATTGGGGAACAAAGCTATAAACGTATGCTTGAACCCAGTGAAAGAGGTGATGACTCCTACTGGCAGGTTATTAAACCGTCGTATGGTTGTTTCTTTAAGGTCATGAGAAACTTGAGGGTGTCGTTTACTTGTAACAAGCACACTGTCGAATTGACTGAAGCAACGTGGTCGGCTGGATCCAACCTTCCTTTCTAAAAATTCAAGGAAGAAAACTTGCAATTTCTAAGTACTTCAGTTTTAGCAAGCTCTCTTGATATTGTGTTCTCCAACTATCTTCGTCTTCTTGTTTCTTCTTTTAGGGATTCTAGAGTGTTCTCTTTCGAGACATAACTCATCATCTTGTTCTTCATCCTTTAGCCTTTAGGTCAAGACTCTCCTCGACTCTATTCTTGGAGTCACCCCCCTTTCATGTTTAGGCGACTTTGTGATGGGATAAGAAGACCAATAAGTAAACTCAACAATGGAGCTTGGTGTATGTAGAAGAGCTCGACGAAAGGACTTAACAAGTTCTCTCGATGGGTAATCTTTGTTGTATTCATATCGGCAGATGTAATCCACGAATATTGTCAATTAGTTATATGGGATGTTAGCACATGAATATATTCATATTCTAGTAGCACCTACGACAGTAAATTAATTATAAGGGATGTTAGCACATGAATATAATGATATTCACCCTCCACTATTGCGTTCATCTCTCAGCAACTATCGCCTCTATACTTCTTGTCTACGTACTATCAATCCTTATGACTCCGTATTACCTCAAAGAAGATTCCATAAACCAGCCTCTGAGGCATCCCGCCTTATCTCTTCTATTACCATCCTCATCTGTTCCTTTAGCTTGTTTATTTGTTGCAGCACCAATTCCCAGGCGCGATCCATCATTTTTCTTCGTTCTTAATCAAAGATCTCCTTGTTAGGCAACGTGTGAAATCCACGCTTACCTCACGTTTTAGAATGTTAATTTCTTTTAGGATGCGATATCGTATAGTTCATAAGTTCACACAATTTGAGAGAAAGTTTGTGATAGGGGGTTTGATGGAGAGAGATAGATAGAACTCAAGCTTCTGTCCTTTTTCTTATCGCCCCCTCTGTCGTCCATTGAGGGTGGGAGAAGCCCTCTATTTATATGCTCCATAAGATATCATTGACCCTCGTAGGGCTATAAAATAGAAAGAAATAAAAATACAATATCAGAAGCTGACTGCGTGAGGCCTGTCTGAGATTTATCGTTGAAGGGATGTCTTTGTGAATGTTAGGAGACTCATAAATGGACATGAACAATAATGAATTTCTAGAGAGTCACCCCCTCTCATGTTTAGGCGACTTTGTGAGGGAATATAAAACTATTTCTTTGCAAGATGTAGTCTCAGGAGAGTACGAATTTCTTGAGTTCTTCATTTGAGAGTAATCGCACCAAAGATTTACTTCAAACCAGAAATAATATACAAGGAAGACCTTAAGCAGCTTCTTTTAGCAAAGAGTAGTAAGCGTCAAAAAGATTATTGTAGGATAGTATTTGACGAACTTAATGGTTAACCTTTGATGGTGGCCAAGCCTCACATAATGAGAAAAAAGAGATAATTAGAGAGAGCAGGGGAGAGAGAGAGAGAGAGAGGGAGAAGAGAGTGAGAGTGAGAGAGATAGAGATAGACATTTATCTATCTCTCGCTCACTTTTTATTCTCTCTCTAACTCACTCTCTACCTCACTCTTACTTTCTATTTTCTTCTCTTCTCTCTTGCTCACTCTCACTCTCACCCTCACCCTCTCCCTTCATCTCTCTCTATCCCTTTGTCCCTCTCCCTCTGCTTATTGTTATTTGCCTCGTGCTTCTCTTCTAATATTTGATAAATCTTTAGCCTCCACTTCTTGCAATCTCAATATCACCTTTCTAGAGTCATCTCAACTGCAAAGAAACAGTTTTGTCCTTCTATTCTTTTAACAGAATAAAAAAAGCTTCTAGGAAAACTTTGAGAGAGCTACATCCCAAGACAAAGCTAGAACTTTCATGATGATTAAATTTCTAAAATACATCTGACATTGAATTCACTTGCAATAGCTCTTAAAATTGAGAAGAGATGGGATCAAGATTAAAACCCAACTCACAAGATCGAATCAACGGCCTAAATATGTTGATTAGATATTAAGTTTGGTAAGATTATATGACCGAGGAATTTATGAAATATCGATACTACAAAGTATATGCTTCCTCTTGGGACAGTCTAGACGTTCTCAAGAAACCACTTGCCCTCTCTGTAGACAATCTAGACGTTCTCAATAAACCACATGCCCTCTCTGTAGCCTTTGAGCACTCAACATAACAAGATTCTACTCGAGTATCACCAAAACACGATGGCTCTTATGTCATTGAATTAAGATGCGCCAAAATTAACTCCTTGGATAGCAATCACAATAGATTGTCATTCGCTTTACTAGAAAAATACATCTCATCCATCACTCACATGTCGCAGCCATTTCACACTAACTAGCAATCTCCCTTTAACGGTTGTAGTAAAGGTTTTGTTTTTCGAGGCCTATGTTGCTTGATTATAAATATTAATCCTTCAAGTTTTAAAGAAATTTGTTTTACATTCTTTGCACACTAGTTGTCTATTACAACCTGATCGCTATTTTCTTTACCCAAAATTCTACTGC